CGAAGGTACTTTATAAATTAATATGACCTATTATTATAATTAATATACCTACCTTCCTTTTTCTATTTATTCTTATATTTCCAGGAAATATTATTATTCGCTTTTATTTTTATTAGTACAATAAAATTGATAGAAGTATTTATAGAATTACTAATATTATTATTTTTAACCGATTGCCTCGAATTCGATATTGAGGCAAAAAGAAAGGAGTTGCTATTAAATTAGTAAAGGTAATTAAGTAATTAAGAATATTATTTAAGTATATTGGTTCTTTCTAGAAATTATTATTTTTAATTATTATTTAAAGCTGTAGTAAATTAGCTGACTTTAGTTGCTTCTAACTAGGAATTAATACGAACGCAATAAAATACTTCTTCAAAGTGGGTAAGGAAAATTATTATTAATTCGCCTAACTTCTAATGAAATTAGTAGAGTTCTTAGCCAGCCCTTCTAGTTATATTAGGGTCCCCGTATGTAAATTTGAACTTCTTAATAAATTTTTAAGGAGATTGTAGCGTAGTAGCGAAGGCAACGAACGGCTTTTTAATAGCGGGCGATAAATAGGCGAGTAGATAGTAAAATTGCGCTTCTATATTACTAATAGTAGATTTATTTATATAGAATTTCGCTTAAGCGTTTAAAATCTAGGTTTCGAACTTTTCCTTACTCCCTAAGAACTTCTCGAATTAGGGAAGTACTTATTTAAGCGCGACGGCGGGCCTTGAAATAACTTCAGTTAATAATATTTGGAAGGCGGCTATAAATTATTAGAGATATTTCTGGGGGTTTTGGGATTAAAGGATTGCGGGGAAGGCGGACGGCGTTATTATTATAAATAGGGAAGATTCTTTGGGCGTGTTTATAAGATATTAGTAATAATATTAATTTAAAAAGAGGGTTAAATATAATATAACGGGTTTATTAGAATATTGTATACCGAGTAGTTATATGAGGTTGAAATGCTATATTTAATAAAGAGAGTAAGGGATAATTGTACTAGAAGGGTGTAGTCGAAAGAAGGCTTTATAGCCGGGCGCACGGGCTAGGCAAATATGTAGATCCGACTAATTAGGAGGCTCGCATCCTTATTAATACGACCGACCCGCCTTAATAGACTTGGCAAAGCCGAGTCTTTGATCCTGGGCGCTAGCCCTATAACATTACCTAGTATAAATTTAAAAAGCAATTTGCTATATTAAAACTAAATAGGTACAGGGCCATTTAACCCGTTATAGAAACATAGGGTGTACGCTGAATATTCTAGCCTATATAGTAGCCGTTTACCCCTAACGCGAAGTAAATATATTTAATATTTACGTTGCGCTTTACTAATTTAACCGTGCTAAATTAGGAATATTGGATCTAAAATAATAAAACGTAAATTAATAGATTAGGTTCTAACTATAAATTCCTTACCGTTTTACTAGATAAAAACCCTTAAAACTTTACTAAAATATATTAAAGAGCAAATAATTAAATATTCTAAGGCTACTTTACTAGTAACGTTAAAAGTCCCTCCGTTGTATAGGAGAAGGATTAGGGTAAGATTAATTGTAATACGTATTAATAATGTATCTTACCTTTTTATTACAATTTCTAATATTAGAACCCTACTTTCGTAGTTTAATAGAATAATATTCCCACTTATAACTCAAAGGCTATGAAAACGTTTATAACTACTACCTTCTCTAATGCTGAAATCGTAAAGTGACCCGCGTATTCCCCTAATTTAAACCCTATTAAATATATATAATTAGTAATAAAATAGTAGATTGAAAAAGAATACCCTATACGGCCGATTACGAATAGCCTTAAATTATTAGTTAAGTAGGCATGGGAAGCTATAGAACCGGATTATTTATTGAAGTTAGTTTATTTAATACTTCGTAGAATTTAGGAGTATATTTGGGTAAAAGGGGGGTATCCTAGGTACTAAAAGCTACCTAGAGAACCCTAGTTTTAGTATAGGAAATCGACTAATTCCTAGTCTTTTTTAGTCTCTGAGTAGTATTTGTAGATCTGATGGATGTGATTTTACTAGTTGAAGGCCCATGTTGAAAAAGATACAAAATCCCTATTTTGTACCAAGCTAACGTACTTACCAGGGCTGGATTGTACCTCTAAGCACCTTGTTGAATTGATAAGAGGCTGCGTCTTATAACCCCACTTTGCTGGGTTGCCTGAGCACAGTATCGACCTACCTCTACTTATATATTAGTCTTAGTTCTTAATAACCCACTCACCTCCAAAACCACCCCACCCCACAAAAGTTCGAGAAGGGGAGACCCACATATTTGTGGGGCGGGTCCGCTGAAGGTTGTCGTCGGGGGTCAATGTGATAGAGACTACTTACAGTAATGTGCCCTGTAAATGCAACTAATCCGGGCAGGTCATTTTCCTTGCAGTTACTAGGTCCTTGCACTTACTGGTAGCTGCACGGGGGGGCTTGTGACAGCCAGTGACAGCTCTAATAAAGGGATCTTATAGTCTGATAGGGATGACAGGGGTTAAGAACCCCCTGTTAAGTACCCTGTCAGCTGCAAATTTGTATGGGCGGCCAGCCGGCTGCCTTGCATTTAGCAGTTAGCAGGCCATACCATAGTAAAATAATTCGGGCACAAAAATCTCTAGCAATAAATGGGTCTTTGCATTTATGGGGACTGACATTTACAGGGCACATTACTGTATACATCTCTACCCTGAACACCACTGCATCTTCACTCATCAGATCGGATGCCTCTCGAAGCTCCTGCATTTCCCTTGCTTCAACTCGCGCTGAAGGTGCGCTCTAGACTATAACTCTAGGTCACCTTCTCCCCATCTACCAACGGGTTTTCACGGCCCAAGCCTGCGATCCTTTAAATGGGTCATGCTGTGCTTAGACCAAGTTCGAGTGAGCGCGCGGCCAGATGCACCAACATGCCATATCTTGAGCTTGTTTCAATACGACAACCACTCTCCCTGACTTGCTGCTTGCTATTTTTCTTCTTCATGTTTCAAGTGCTGTGGCTTCAGCTACCATGGGCCAAGTACTGTCAGAAGAGGAGAAACCGGCTCCCTTATCCCACGAGGAGTTGGTCAAGGAACTGGTGAGTGTTGTTGTTCAGTATCGCTGAACCGCCGACCGCCCATTATGTCGCTGAACTATGCTAATATGCCCGCAGGCCAACATTTTTGCGGACAAGTGCTTCACATCTCTCGAATTGTATTCGCTGAAGCAAGTCTTTAAGAGCCTGGCCCACCATGAGCAGCGTGTGGGCTATCTCAAAGAGGGCACCATTGCGACATATCTCAACGTCCCCGACATCCTCGGCGTCTCTCCCGTGCTCTTCCAGATGGTAACCTACATTGCTGCCTTCCCTTTCTTGGAAGATGCCCCGGCCTTCTTGGGCTTGCAGCAAATGGTCATAGTGATCACTCTCATGACAGATAGATACCGGCGCGTGTTGAGAAAGGATGCTGCTGATAAAACTAAGTTGTTGTTCAAGAGCCTGGCAGTTTACGACCGCAAACTTTCGAGACCGGCTGCCGATATGCACAGTGGCTTGACAAACGCGAGAGAGCAAGCGGAAAACGATAGGCAAGCGCTTGACAATGACGAACTGGTACTCGCTGCGTTCGATGCTTTGGGCCATGTCATTCCCGATAAACAGCAGAATATGCTTGCCACTCATGAGGCTATGATACCGGGGGATAATTTCCGGAAGTTCATCATGCTCCTCCTTCTTGTCGCACCACTGGATCCTCAGGGACGTCTGGACTCCGATCCCAATCGAGTGACCGGGGCTGGGCTACAATGCTTGAGGACAGCAGCTGAGTCAATTCTGGCGGCCTTTCTGGACGTGGAACAGAAACCAGGCGTCGAATATCTCCGCTTCAGCAAGGTCATAGCCAGTTGCCTACCCTTTCTTTTCAGAGGCCTCACTCCCCTTTTTGAACATTTTCTCTTTTCCGAGGAACTCGACTTCCACAAAGGCAAGGAGGGTACATCCAGGTCCCCAACTATGTTCCCCAAGCCAGAGCAACCGATATTGCAAGACGCTGGATCCATTATGAACGCAAGTATCCTATCACAAATCTCCTTCTTTCTCCCTGGTAATCTGCTCTTCCGACGCCTACGCCTCTTATACGCAGGTGACGAGGATGGATTCAGCATGGGCAGTTTCGAGGCCAAAGTATTCAAGTGGAAGGCGCCGACAATTCTGCTTGTTTGCGGAACGCGCTTGCGGGACGATTCTGACCATCACAGCAACGGATCAGCGCCGGCTTTCTGGGCTTCTTTGCCCCCGAGACGTTTTCCCCGTGGCAGCTCGGGCGACGCCGAGCGACTCACCTTTGGGGTCTATGTCCCCGAGCCCTGGAAACTCACTCATCGCGAGTGCTTTGGTGGAGAGGACACGATCTTATTCCAGCTCGAACCGATACATGACCTCTTTCGGGCATCATCCCTAAACAAGGATCACATCTCGTTCGCCAGGCCCTCGGCATCGCCGAGCCATGCCGGGGTGTCTTTTGGTTGTCCACCGCCCAGGCCCAGCCAAGTATATCACCGCTCAAGCATAATCGCACTTGGGCCCGTGTCTTTGATGTTGGATAGCTGCTTCGAGTTTGGTTGCTTCACCCACGATTATGCTTCAAAGGGAGGGGCATTCCATACGAGCATGATCAGAGAATATGATTTCCAAGAGCGTTTTGAAATCGGAAGTGTGGAGGTTTGGGGCTGCGGCGGGGATGAGGAAGCGAAGGACCAAGCAGAGAGATGGGCGTGGGAAGCAAGAGAAGCTGAAGCCAGAAGGAGGATTAACCTGGGCACAGGCGACATCGAAGCTGACAGAGCATTGCTCGAGATGGCCGGGCTTGTAGGGAGCAACAGGAATGGCGGTAGCATGGCATAACAGTAATAGTTTGCCATAGGGAGCTTCATTATCCAAAGAGCGGATGTGAGGTTCTTCTACCGGATAACAAAATTCATATCAACGAAACATTGGGAGACTAGCAGGCCGGAACGTTTATGGCCTCATGATCTGACTGCCTTTACGGGTGCAAGCCATGTCCCCGACTTCTCCATATTATATCGTACATCATTCACGTATACTTACATACCTGAGTGGCTACCTTCAATCACGTTTGTATTCAGCCTAGTTCTTATCCCGCGACGACCCATCGGCTCCTTTGGAGCCCCCAAGCCAAGTGGGTAGTCGCTCGCGAACACCTGTGATGTTGGACTTGTTGGGATCCTCGGGCGCTACGTCTCCGGCCGGACTGCTGACCTTCTCCTTGGCATTAGCATAGGCGGCCTGGGCTTGGGCGGCAACGCCATCCGGAGCGCCAGCAGCCGAGTCACGCTCTGCCTTCTTCTTCTTCCTCTTCTCGAGTCTCTCCTGCAGAGCCTTGTCCTCGGCATCGCGAACCTCGAGCTCCCGAATCCACTTCTGGCGCTTCTCTTCGGCGTCCTGCTGCTCCTTCAGCTTCCACAGCTCCTTCTGCTTCTGGCGATCAGCAGCGTAGTACCAGCTGCCGGCAACCATGGCGATAACGGTAAAAGCCTGGGCAGCAACACGGGCGCGGAACATGCGCTGAACCTGTTCGTGGTCACCGCGGCGCATGGCGCGGTAGGCGCCCGTGAAGGCGGCGACGGTGGCGATACAACCGATGGGGATCAAAGGCTCCTCGCGGAGACGGCGGGACACCTTTTGGAAGCCATTCTCGTTGTAAAAGTCCCTGTTTGGGGGCAAAGACAGTGAGGCCTCGTCAGTATAGGGCGCATGCGGCCTGCAGTCGCAAGGGAATCCAGCGCCCGGAAGGGCAACGAAGGGTGGCTTGACTTACGCGTTGTCGTCAAAGGAGGAGGGAAGAGGCCTAGAGGAGAGGCCCGGTGGGGCCGAGCCTTGGTTGTCTGTAGAATTGGGCATGTCTATACTATGTCTGGCAATAGGGCTCTGGGAAGCTGAGATAAGGCAGATTGGCGGGCGATTTGGAGCCTCGTGTTGACTGTCGAGACAGGTGGAACTGGGTTCTCGGTGATGAAACAACGGCGACGGAGACGGAGACGGGCGATAGCGATGGCGATGCGCCTGCTACATGAAGGGCGGAAAAAGGCCGAGCTACCCCACAACTCTCGCCGGGGCTCGGCCCCGCAACGTCAGGACGGTCCAGGTACCGTGGATACCTCTGGTGTACATGTGCACTATCACTTACATACACCATGGGTCCCCTCGCGCAACATGCACAGCGGTTCATCGCCACAGAGCGGCAGCATTCTAGAAACATGGATGCATTGTTCGTTGCCCGCCAAACAAAATCTACCTCTACTCTCGCGCGGGCCCCCTCGTGGTTGACCCCGTCATTGCCTGTCAAGCCAGGTACACATTGGGTGGCGCAGATAGACCAGCCCTGGCAGCGGCCCCGACTTGGGATTTCAAATAACACCTTCCTCAAAGGCCATCTTTTCCCAATGGTGAGGCAATAGCGCGACCCTGGCCCCGTTCTCGGTTCAAGTATCTTCGGGTAGCTGTTGTCAAGCTAGCTGCAGCAGGCGACACTACTAGTGTACTGTGTACAGAGGTAACTGCAACGTACGTATCGGGCGCTGGGCAGGGGGACCCACTCAGGGCGACGCTTGACAAAAATAGTGCAGATCATCCGGGGGTTCTGACTTCTGACACCGAGTTTGACACTGGCACCGACACCGGCACCGGCGCTGCGTTTTCTTGACTTCCTTCCCAGACAAAACTCACACCTCATTGTCCAGTGTTGAAGGCACACCATAAGATGGCTTCGACACAAAGTGCACAGCCGTTGCTCGTCAACGGTGCTTCCCTGCACGTAGTCAACGGTCTCAACAGCGAGAGGCCGGCGAGCCCGTCTTCGGTCGGCAACCTCGCACTGACCGAGTACAGCGCGATGCCATCGCCGCCATCGGAGGATGCCACGGCCAACAAGATGAAGCGCATTGTTCCTGATGAGTTCCTGCTTCCTAACGGTCATCCAGATGTAAGTTGGAGCACCCGAGATTCTTGCTGCTTGGTTTCGTTTTCCAACGGCGAGCTTTGTTCATGGCCCTTTCTGCTGGGTGACTCACCAGAATTCTATGCTGTGCGACCTCTGCTAACTCGCGTCAGTACTTGCGCCTCATCATTACCTCTTACCCACGTGTCCGCGAAGTTTGCAGTGAGGTGCCCTTAACCCGGGCTGTCAACTTGAGCAACCGCCTCGAGTGCAACGTCCTACTCAAGCGTGAAGATGAACAGCCCGTCTTCAGCTTTAAACTTCGTGGCGCCTACAACAAGATGGCCCATCTCGACCCCAAGGAGTCCTGGAAGGGGGTGGTCTGCTGCAGTGCCGGCAACCACGCCCAAGGAGTTGCATACTCCGCCCGTAAGCTGAAGATCCCCGCCACTGTCATCATGCCCAAGGGCACTCCCAGCATCAAGCACCTCAACGTTTCCCGTATGGGTAGCCACGTCGTTCTCCATGGTGCCGACTTCGACGAAGCAAAGGAGGAGTGTGCTCGAAGGGCCAAGCTGGACGGCCTCATCAACATCCCGCCTTTCGATGATCCGTACGTAATTGCCGGCCAAGGAACCATCGGCATGGAAATTTTGTCACAGACCAATCTGCAGAAGCTACAGGCCATCTTCTGTGCTGTCGGCGGTGGTGGCTTGATTGCTGGTGTTGGGGTCTACGTGAAGCGTATTGCCCCCCATGTCAAGATCATCGGCGTCGAGACGTACGATGCAGACGCAATGACCCAGTCGCTCGCTAAGGGTGAACGTGTCCTTCTTCAAGATGTGGGTTTGTTTGCCGATGGTGCCGCCGTCAAGACAGTTGGTGAGGAGACCTTCCGTATCTGTCAAGAAGTCGTCGACGAGATGGTCCAAGTCACCACGGACGAGGCTTGTGCCGCCATCAGAGACATGTTCGAGGACACGCGCTCTATCATCGAGCCTGCTGGCGCGCTGGCCGTTGCCGGACTCAAGAAGTGGGTTGCCGCCAACCCATCCGCTGACTCCACCCGGTCCGTCGTTGCCATCACCTCAGGCGCAAACATGGACTTTGATCGCCTGGGCTTTGTCTCGGCGCGTGCCAAATATGGCGAAGGCAAAGAGGCCCTCCTCTCTGTTAACATCCCCGAGCGCCCCGGCGCTTTTGCCGAATTAGTCAACGCCATCATGCCGCACGCCATCACCGAGTTTAGCTACCGATACGCTACCGAATCCAAGGCAAACGTCATGGTTGGCATTTCTCTGGCCGATTCCGGCAGCCGCCGGGCAGAGCAACTGCAGACCATCATTGGCCGTATCAAACAATCAGGTGACATGGACGTAACAGATCTGTCCGCCGACGAGCTTGCCAAGAGCCATCTTCGATACATGGTTGGCGGCCGCTCAAATGTTCCCAGTGAAAGGCTTTACACATTCCGCTTTCCCGAGCGGCCAGGCGCCCTCGAGCGTTTTTTGCGACTACTGAGACCAAAGTACAACATCAGCCTCTTCCAATATCGAAACTACGGGGGAGATATTGGCCAGGTATTGACGGGTATTCAGTGCCCTGACGAGGAAGTTGGCGAACTACAAAGCTTTTTAAAGGAGATCGGATACCCATGGGAAGACTGTACAGATTCACCTGTTTTCAAAACATTCCTACGAACTTGATTTAAATATATAATAAACAAGAGTTTAACAGGGAAAATATATTAACGTCTAGGCTTTTTACTAAATTCTAAATACGAAGGTACGTATATTTGCAGGTAATAGTTAGAACGTATAAGGGCATAGGATGGTTGAGTCGAGAATAAAGCTAAGATTCTATTTATAATAGAAGATTTTAGGTGTGGAGAGGATGTTACTCGTTAAGTTTATAAAATCGACTATTTAACTAGCGGGCGAGCTACTAGTTAGGGACAGCGACTCGTATATAAATAGCGACTCGTACCGAGCGGGGTACTTACTCCATACATATTTTAACAAGTATACGGAAATTACCTATTTAAGGCTAATAATATTTTTTATTAATATATTTATATTTCTTAACTGTATTAAATATTACTAATTTAACCAGTATGTCTACCAACACGTAAAATTATTACTATTTTACATATATATAAATCTAATAATATAGATTATTTATACTAAAAATTACATTTAACCTCCTTATAATTAGAATTCCTATATAACTCGTCTTTATCGTCGTTATTATCGTTTTGAATAATTTTATCCTTATATTCCTTATACGCTTCATCTTTTTAATTTATTTACGCCTATTATTTATTATTAAGATACTACTAATTAAGATCCTTCTATATATTTACTAGCTTATTATTTTTAACTTTAACCTCTTTAGGATTAATTAGTTCATCCTTTGATAGTATAATACCCTTACTAGTTAATTATAATACAATAGTATTATTTACAACCTTTTTTCTTACTTTATTAAATACTTATAGAATATACAATTTAAGGGGATTACTAGAAGGTTACTAATAGAAAAGTAAAGTTATATTATTAATAATACGTTTACTTTCTAATTGCTTAACTTTTTAATTAATAATATATTACTTCTCGTTAAAACTAAAAGCGATCCAGACTGGGTTTATAGCGCTACCGCCAGGGAGGGAGGGGGTACGACTATAACAAATATCCCTCACGATCAATTTACAAAAACCCTTCTACTAAAAGTCGGTAACGTTATAGCCCGGAATATAAGGAAGATTATAAATATTAGTAGGCGAACCGTGTTGGTGGGTTCCGGCATTCACTGGGCCCAGTCCCCACTCTGTGCCCTGCCCAGACCGTACCACATCTAGCCTTCCAGACTCCGCCAGTCTCCTTCTCTCTCTCTCTTAATAGCATATATTTAATTAATCGTATCCAACCGCTTAATTTCGTTAGTGATCTCACAGGTTATGAGCCCTCTCTAACCTTCCTTGTAATCGCATTTGACGAGCGCATCATCAAGCGCATCGCCAGCCTCAACTTCAATAAGGCGCCGCAGCACCGGGTCAAAAAAGAAGCAACCGCGACCTTCGTTTTTAATAATTCGCCCGCTCGCCCACAAACCAGCCTCGCTACATAAAGATTCTCGCCAATACTTATTATTCAACGACCCCTCTATTAAACTAATTATCGGTTTATCCTTCGAATCAATCATCGATTTAATCAAACCCATTATCGAATCAAGCGATTCATTCAAATTAATCTAATCAATCAACGGCTAGTTTAGCAATTACTAACTTTCTTTTTCTTAATATATTAAACCCTCCTATATTAATAATAATTACTAATTTATTATTAATTCCCCTCCTTAGCGACTAGAATATTACCGACTGGTATTAAGGCTTTATAACCGAATTTAATTATTTCTAATTCGTTGAATATATTTTTAAGATAATCCCGGAGCCTAATAAAGCGGACGCCGATAAATATAACGCCTAATAGACTAAGCGTACCAACGCTAATAAAATTCTACTCTCTATTCTAAAGAACCCTAATATTATTACTATATTGTATATTAATAGATAGGACAGACCTAGTAGAGACTTTAAGGTTACGTATAATCTTGTTTAATTATATATCGCTCGTATTACTAAGGAAGTTCGTAGCGAAGTTTTCGCTAAATATCTAGTTATTAAGCGAATTAATTTTAATATTATAACTTCTTTTTTTACTCGCTATACTTTACTCCGCAAATATATTGAAGATACTAAATTTAAAATTAATAACGATTTTAAAATTGCTTTCTTTTACAATATGGTAAAGTCTGTATATTCTATCGATACTAAGTATTAAATAGCCGTATTTAAAGCTAAGAAACTGGATTTCGGTACCTTCTTATCCAAACTGGGTAATATTAGTAACGTTGAGTCCCGTACCAGTATTAACATTAATATCCAGAAGTCGGCTAATAATAGTAATAATACTAATAAGAATAATAATAATAATAGTTCGGTTAATAAGAAGAAGGATAACGGTAAGTAAATTGACTATATTAATTATAATAAAAAAATCTATCCTACTCAAAAGTATATCTCCTATAGTTACTACGTTAGTAAGAAGGCTAATATCTACTAGGTCTATTTCCCTAAGAAGGCGCTTAATATTTAGAAGCCTAAGAAAGATATAATAGTTAAGAAGGTAGCTAACGCTAGTACTAGTACCTTCGCCAATAACGCTTCAATTAATCTTACTACTCCCGCTACTACTATTAATTCTACTTTATTATATAGAAGTAGAATATTTATAGGCCTAAACGGCTTGGGCGGTAGTAGTATGGATTTTTACTAGAGCCTCTAGCCAACGCTATTAAGCGTATTAACTGTAAATAAGGTAGTCAATTAATCGATTATCAACTTCAACTTCAACATGCCTACAGTAATCCCGCTAAAGTCCAATAGGCTCAAAGGCAATTACTAAATAATATTAGAGATCTAGTTATTTACGATTCTGGCTGTGCTAGTAATATCTTCAACCACCTTAAATAGTTCACAGACATACAACCACTTCCACATCCATCGGTCTATACAATCGGCGATAGGACCTCGACTTACGCTTACCACATCGGCACAATTAAATTAACTATAGCTACTTTGAATAATATAACTATCAAAATTAAAATTAAGGACTATATCTATAGTCCCTCTACCCTAGCAAATCTATTAATTACAAGAAGTCTTCTCAATAACGGTATAGTTTAGGATATGAAATCTAACTAAATATCTACGTACAGCAAAGTCACGATTTAATACAAATGGATCAACGACCTTCCAATTCTACTAATATACGCGCAGCTAGACTTTCCCTAAAACGTTCGCTATACCTTAATAACTTCAATTAATTATTTAACAATATATCGTCGCCTTATATACGCAGGTAAAGACTAAGTTCTTAAAGTTTATAAGGCGGCTGGTATTAAGCTAAGTAATATTTAAGAGTACTTTTGCAAAATATACGTTAAAGCCAAAGCCTACAATATTATTCCCAAAATCGTTAATAAAGTAACGATTCAATTATTAGTATATATCTATATCAATATCGTCTCCCATACTCTACCCGGCTATAAAGGATATCGGTATATAATCTATTTTATTAATTAGGTTACCAGCTTCTATTAGGTAAGGTTTATAGTTAATAAGGGCGATACTTTCGTATAGATTAAAGAGTTTAAAAAGTAGGCTGAGCTTTAAAGCAATAGACTTAAAATTAAGGTATTTGGTTTTGATAGCGGCCTAGAATTTAGTTTCAGTACCAAAGAATTTCAATATAGTAAAATCGTTAAATAGACTCGTATAGAAGGTATTAAATTATTAAAATTAATACCCTATACCCTATAGATGTAAAGAAAGATCGAGAGAGTTAGCGCTATTATTATACAATAAATTAGAACTTTAATAATAGATTTTAATATCCTAGAACATTTATAGCCTTTTATAGCTAACTATATCGTTAGAATTCTCAACCTTCTACCTTTAAAAGCTTGTAATAGTAAAAGCCTATAGGAATTACTCGCTAATATAGCCAACTTCCTAAACGAAATTAAAAAGCTATATCTTAAACACTTGAGGTCTTACTTCTATACGGCTTACTACTTTATTAAGCCAAAAAAATAATCATAAAGTAATAAATTTCGCGCTAGAGTTTAAAAGGGTTATTTTATCGGTTTTAATAATATCCATAATCGTATTATATTTATATAAAATCCTTATACTAGCAAAATCGTTAGAGCTAGCGTAATAACCTTCTTTGAAAAAGACCCGGTCAATTATAAGGATCCAATATATAATAGTAACGGTAATATTATTGAATATTACATTATTTTTTTAAACTAAACAATTAATAAAATTAATAAAGTAGTAAATAGTAGTTACTAAATTTAGGTTAAAGTAGATAGTACAATTCCACAGCTATATTCATAGAAAACAATCGAATCACCCTAATAAAAAGAAATTAAAAAGATATAGGAAATAACAATTATACTACCTTTATTACTAGAAGTTACACTAATACCCTTAACTTTTCTAGTCACTACGACCGCGTTGGCTACCGTAACCGCTCCAATCAACTCGACTACTCCAATTAACTCAACTACTCCAATAACTATAATAACTCCCCCGAATACTCTAATTAATATAGTACCGCCGGTATTACCGTTACCAATACTAATCCTATCGCCAACTCCGGCTCCAGAAACCTCGCCAACACAATCATCACCAGATCCGCTACAACGTCAACCAATAAGCTCGCCGGTTAGAGAGACTATCGAATATAATAACGACCTTCTTAATCTTAAAAATTTTAATAAAGAAGACCCTATACCTTACAATTAACGTAACCGACGCAATTCTAACAAATTAACTATTTATACTACTCTAAGTACCCCACAACCCAACAATCTTCAACAATTAATTTTAATAATTTAATTACCGCCAATAGGTATACCGAACTCCGCTCGTACGCGATAATATACCCCGTCGCTAATATTGCAAGTTAACAAACTACAACTTCAACCGAAGAACCAAAAATAATAAACTGCAAATTCGCAATAGGCTATCCCGAATTCGGACCCTCCGAACCCGAATTCAGGGCCCCCGAACCCGAATTCGGGCCCTCCAATCCCAAATTCGGACCCTACAACAATTCCGCCGAACCCTACAAATTCA